AACAAAAATTCATGGTTTTTTGATTAGTTGCAATGTACCTATTATATTTTGACACCGGTTCTATTTTTTCATGTTAAACCCGGTTTCAACATATGAAAAATAAAACTGGTTTCAAACTCTATACCCTAACTCATTATCTAATATAAATAACTTTCAGTGTAAGAAAGGTGGTCGGGTCAGGTCCATAGAGAAAATTTTTCTTATATTGAGAGTTTATTAATGATTTATGTCGATTATAGAGTTGCTTAGTCATTGTGTGGCGTTATTTCGGGAACAATTTTGAGATTAATTTGATCGAAAAATTTTTAATTATTGCCAATTTTTAACTAGTTGAGAGTTTATTATCGCAATGAAAAAAAGATGGTCTCGGCCATTTTTTTTTATTCCGTACTAAGATCTGGTACGGGAAAATACGGCACGTTATTACCCGATATATAAACTGTAACTCGATCATAAGATTTTTCACAATACAGACGAACATAATTGACATTAAGTTCTAACTATCGTTAGATTCTTTCTTAATATTTTTATAAAAAGGTGCGTATTTGGGAAATTTTTACCAAAAATTATAAATAAATTATTTCCATGTCCCTGGTAACAATTGCGAAGCATTTCACGTGAAGGCGATCAATGAATTTCTGGAACATCAAACATTATTATATAGCGATAGTACGAAGTCATATTTCAAGTTTTGAACTGGTTAAAACTTGGACTTCCACTGAATAGACCGAATGAAGGTACGTACGTACGTCCGCATGACCGAAAATTCATTATAATATGTATATATTTAGATATATTAATCAAATAATTTAATGAAAATCAAATGCTAATAGAGTACGCGGCAAAATATTCTCCCTTATAAAGAAAAAAAGATCAAACGCAAAAAATAAAAAATCTAACACCAAAAAAAAACCAAAAAACGACACCTAAAAGCCTTATTATACTTCTAGAATATGTAAATTCAAAAAATTCACCAGTAATGGAAAAATACATTATGCATTATCCTCTTCGCCTTGTGATGATTATTTTTTTTTTGTTACTTCAACAGAAATATATTCGTGAAAATGAATCCTTCCAAAAACATCAAGTGTTACGTTATCTTTATCTTATGATTCCAAATTCCGTCATGATGACAAATAATGATAAAATTGTCAATGTCAGATACGCCAGATTATCTATTTGATAAAAACTACATAAATGCTTAGCTCATCTCACAAATTAGTAGCAAGAGTGAATTGTATGAATCTTACGAGATTTAATTAATATAGTTTACTCGTTAAAGTATATAAACTCGTATTATTAAAAGTATATAAAATTTATATTATTAAAAAAGTATATAAAATTCATAAAATTGGGGGTTTCAAAATTAACAAAAAAATTGCGCATTTTATAAAATAATTAAGATTTTTCAAATAGCATTTTTGCTATGTCGAATTATAAATCAGAAAAATAAAATTTCTTAATTTTAATCTTGAAATCCCCAATAAATAGAACTTACGAAAATAAATTATACATTTTAAATAAAATAATCTCACTTTATCGTAGTTCAGTTATCATAATGAGCTTCATTCCAAACGGAAAACCTTCAAACGAAAAAAAGGGTCGAAGAATTCTTGTTACTGGTGGAACTGGATTTATCGTACGCGTATTTTCATATACATTTTTGATCAATTCTTATGATTCCATTCTTGATACTATTTGTTTAACGATCACTAGGGTAGTCATGTAGCAAAACGTTTACACGATAGGGGAGATTATGTCCGTGTCGTCGATTGTTTGTCAACATCTGGTGCAACAAGCCTCTTTGGAGGTCATGAAAATTATTGTTCAGAATTTATTAAGGGTAACTTGCTAAATCCATTAGTATGTCGTCAGGCCGTAAAGGGAATTCAATGGGTTTTTCATTTCGCTGCAAATATGGGTGGAATGGGAACGATCCATGAGAAAAACAACTTTGTAATTTATAGTAATAATCATTTAGTATCAATGAATATCATACAAGCCTCCATTGAGGCAGGGGTAGACCGATTTTTTTACGCGTCTTCCGCGTGCATTTACCCAAATAAAAAACAGCTTGATTCATTTGATCAGGATCTAAAGCTAAGTGAATCTATTGCATGGTGTAGCCAAGACGACGAGCCAGGTCCTGATCCACAAGGCCTTTATGGTCGCGAAAAACTAAATAGTGAGACCTTGCTATCCGAATTCGTAAACAACGGGGAATACTCAACAAAAATAAGGATTGCTCGTTATCATAATATATTTGGAGAAGGTGGCGTTTGGGTCGGAGGAAAAGAAAAGGCTCCTTCTGCATTGCTTCGTAAAGCTGTTTGCGCTGCTATTGATGGAAACTATGAGATGGAAATCTGGGGTTCTGGTGATCAGCGTCGTAGTTTTTTGTATATCGAAGACTGCGTTGATGCTACCATCAAATTAATGGAAAGCGATTATTCTAGACCGTTAAATATTGGATCAGAAGATGCAGTTACCATAAAAGAATTGGCTTATATTGCTTTTGAAACTGTTGGGATTAAACGTGACCAGGTTAGACTAATCACGGATGAAACAAAACCCGTCGGTGTACAAAATCGTAATTCTGATAATACTTTGGTAAAAAAGATACTGGGATGGTCACCTAAAATTTCAATTCAGGAAGGCATGAAAAGAACCTCTGTATGGATAAAAAGTGAAATTGAGAAAGAGCTCAAAAATTGTAGAAGCGAGTTGGCAAGAAAAAATTTAATAAATAGTTACAGGAAAAGCGAATTGAAAATATTACTTGAAGAAATAAAATTTGGAATTCTACTTCCTATTACGTCTCGTGGATTGGAAAATCGTGAGGATTGCCTCAATAATCTAGTTGATTTTGCCCGAAGTATACATGAGACGACACAAGCTGATGTAATAGGTATGAATGGTATTAGATTTTCTATAAAGTTCTTTATAGGAATCGACAAGGACGATACTCTATTCCATCCAATCGAGAATAATCCCGCGGAACGAATCCTTAAAGAACATGGATTAATGGATTTAGAAACGCGAGAGTTTAATTTTCCTCCGAGTTCAATCTGCCAAATTTGGAATGATTTAGCAAAAGATGCATATGACCAAGGGTGCGAATATTTGGTGCTATTTGACGATAGTATCGTGCTGGAAACTACCAATTGGATGTCAAAAATTTACAATGAGTTCATAAAAATTTCAAACGAAAAGGACGTCCCATGCGGTTTCGGATGCGTCGCTTTCAATGACAAAACATTACCTGGATTTCCTACTTTTCCCGTAATTTCACGAAGTCATATTGAAATATTCAATGGCAAGTCTTTCCCGACAATATTCACAAATCAAGACTCTGATGTTTTCTTTTTTGAATTATACCGTCGATGGGAATGCTCAAAAATTATGAACGCTGTAAAGCTTATAAACAAGAGCGGTGGAGATGGAAAGCCGCACTACAAAAAAATTTCCCACGATGGGAGCTTTTCAGCATTAGACGATGCTGTGTCAACAGTCGAAAAATGGATGCAAGAAGCACTCGAAAATCCAGTTCCAAAAATGATTACTCTTGACTAGATTTGCGATCCAATTAGTATTATTTATTTTTTGAATTATGTCATTACCACATGGTTTTGAAATCGGGATTTCTAACTTTGTTTGGGATAATAACTAAAACCGAAATATATATCCCATTGGTCATTAGTGTCAAAAAAAATTTTTTTTGTTTAATAAATGCTATAAATTGAAACTTATTTTATTTTAAAGATATGTTGAATAAAGACGATAATGTATGTCGACTATGTGTGAAGTGATTGATAAAAATAAAGCTTTTAATATTCAAAATAAATTTCAAATCATAACTAATAAATTTTCGACGAAGTTTCCTTCGAAATTCGAGTAGAATTGCCAATAAAAGAATAAAAATCATCCGATAGTCACGATTCAATTCTCAGCCTCGAACCACGACAGAGCTATTGAAACTCCGCAGGATAATCGAAACTAGGGTCGTAAATTCAAGAGCCATTATTCCCTGCGATTACAATAAGGGAATCACGTCATATGATCCAACTAAATCGCTGTAATCATTAATTTACTTTTAAAGATTACAAATAAACAAAAAAGCGATCTGTTTGTTATATTAATAAAACTATTTTTTTATATTTTAATGTCAAAATAAGATTTGTTTTTAAATTAACTACGTGTTAATTTAAAAATTTACCTATAGATATTTATCATCTATGTTGCATTATTGTACAGTCATATAGGGCTCCGAAGTTTGATTCGGATTTGGTTCAGGTTTGATCAAACTTCAAACTCAAATCAAACTCAAACAGCAAATTTTACTAATTTCAAACCCAAACTCAAACTCAAACTAGTAATACCAAACTCGAACCAAACTCAAACACAATTATAAGTTTGATTCGAGTTTGATTTGAAGTTTGCCAAACATGTTTGAGTTTGAATAGTCAAAACCAATACACAAACCTAGCATAACCACCACGATCAGTTATGTACGGAGTTAAAATTAATTCATTTACCCTTTTTATTTTTTGGTAAACTTCGAAGTTAGGTAATAATAGTTTACCAAATAAATTTTGAATTAATTCGAATAACCACTTTTCTTGACGCAATAAAAATTTGGGATATAGTTTGTTAAGCTAGGTAATAACTGTTTACCAAATAAAATTTGAATAAATAACACAATGACAATTTTTACATGTCGGGTTATGAGATTTGGTTTAATAAAATCCCAGATCAACCTTTAAAAATATTATCAAACATGCTAATTTTAAAGATGTAATCCGATATCTATTGGATATCTATTTTTATATTAAATTTAGATATTGGGTCACATCTCTATTTGTGCTAAACCTCATATGTTTGTAAGCTGCTTCAATTTATTTCCTCATTTAAGTTCTCTAAAATTTAAGAATTATATATTGGAGCACGATCATATATTCACTCTTTATTATATTAGAAATTGCATTTTAGTTTATACACTTCAGTTTACTACCCACTAATCTAAATTGTGTTGAATATTATATAATCTACTGTATTAACATTAAAAGGAATCCACACAATAATTTAAAGATTTCTTGGTGCTGCAGCAGTCACAGGATGCACAGTTGGTGTTCTCAGATAAGTATTTTTCTATTTCTTGAACTACTTTCTCCTTGAATTATTTATGATAATCACAGGTCACAGGTCTTGATTTGTAATCAGATCTGATTTACATAAATCGATAGTTAATTAATTTCTAATATCTGTAATATAACAGATAAGGATATTGCTTATTAATCTCTCTCTCTCTTTACTTTTTGTAAAATAAAATATATTGAGTTTACAATTAACACAGGATCAAGAATAGTGATAATAACGAATGATTTTAATGATTTGAGATCTACTATATGGTGAACCCGATGAGTTGTCTTTTATTGAAGGTAAAAAAATCAGAATTTATATACTTTTAATTATATAGAAAATAATTATTACAAACTTCCTAGCTTTCTTTTTAGAGGTCCCATCATTCACAAACGAAGGCATTGTGCTGCTTATATGTTTTTGGTATTAAACTGGACCTCTTATCCATTATCATATTTTCTTCAGTGAAAAAGGCATGTTCAGATGCAGTGGAAGTTGTGGAAATTGCAAAGTAATCTCTGGCCATATGAGCAAGACAAGAAAATTGCATTTGGTGTGTTTAAATATTATATTAATATTAATAAATTATTAATAAGATAAAATATTTACTATCACTTACTTACCATTATGCTAATATATCTGTTTTTTATTTGCAAGTTTTTCAGTGATATAGCTTTCAATTTCATCAAATTCTTTATCATCTTTATTGAAGTCTTCATCCAACAATGTTTATATAGTTAACTTTATTGCATTGTCAGTACTTAAGTTATTAGAGGCAACAACAAGTATGTATACTATTTCAAAAAAATTATGTATTCTAAAAAAAAAAAAATTATATAAGTATAAAATTCCTAAAAAAAAAATAATTGTATTTTATATAAGAGTTAGAGTCCTGTAGCCTAGTGGTCTAGGCACCTAACTCTCCACAGACAAGGTCAATGGTTCAATTATAGCTGGTGGTAATTAATTTAATTAATTATCTCTGTAACCTTTGGGGG